TTACGATCGCGACCGGTGACCACCACCAGAGGGTCAGTTCAACGCTTTACGCTTGACCCCCTCGATGGTGAGCATTATAAGATGAGTATAGAACGTATATTATACAGCCTTGGGCAGAAATATTGGGCAACCCAGAAGATATGAATTTTTGAAGAATATTTTTGTGTTAGCGGGAATACGGAACTGTTGAAATGTGGAACGAATTATTTTTTGTTCATTTTTGTCAATTGTTTTGGTGGGCCAGTGTTTGCATTAATGATTGACCATCAACAGCAGTTTCTTTCTGACTTTAAGTCTGTTCCTGTTAAAAAGGAATGAAGAGGTTTGCACACTTTGGAACCCAACATTGAAAGCTATTTTTTTTGGTTGTGAGAATGGTGAAGCGAATGGGAAATTTATTCAAATACATATCTTTGGGTATGTGGAAAATTTTTTTTCTAGAACGAAGTGGAAACGCTCGGGATAAGCCACGTTGGCTGTTTCTTTAAAACGGTTTGACCTAAAACGAGGAGCGGAACATTTTTATGTTGTACGTCAAATTTGCTGAAGAAATACTTACGGATTTTGCGATATGTTAAAAACTTTCTTTGCTATGGACATTTTTATAGAAAACTTTTCGGGTAAAAGCGATACTTTTCTCTTCGAATATTCACCGTTTGCACAAGAAAACATATTTCTAAAAATCTGTACCTACGTATTTATTTGGCATAATTTATGTAAAATACAAAAGGCTTTTTTTAGAACACTTGTAGGCGTCAAAGTGGGATAAGTTCTTAACTTGTGTTGATGGTGACTCAGTTCACTCTTATTTAATATATTTCAAAGAAAACTTTCTACATTGGGAAACGTTTAATACTATGCTATCGGTGGATTGTAATTCTGACGACTCTCATTACATGTAACAAAGGTTAATTCGTACGGTTTTATACGAAAGCTGTGTTCACAGTTATTCGTTCTCTCTCGTATAAATATAATTTTGGGGGTTTATGGTAAACTGCCGGTCCCGTATTAATCCTCGGACAGCCGAGGTCGAGGTGTATTTTGACCCAAGTTAATTTAACCCAAGTTAATTTCGCCTAAATGAAATTGACCTAATTCAAGCTGGTAGTTATACAATACATATTTTGCAATTATGTAAGAGAAGTGTATCATTAATCTCAACGAACTACTTGAAGCTTGTAGAATTTCATTTTTGAATTTATCCAATTAAACAATTATTATTTATACATTTGTTCGCTAGATACATGAATATATCTTTATTTTATAACTATTGTAAAATTCTCCCGTTCAGTCGACAAATCGTCGCCCGAGTTCTTAACTGTTCTAAAAATTAGGTAATCAATCTACGTGCGTCTCATTGGGCAAAAAAATACAAATTCACGATAATATAAAGAAAATTCAACCTAGAAACAAAAAATATTCTTTTAAGTCCTAACTTCGAAACTTTGAAAGTATTTTTTTCTTAATAGATGTATCTCCAAATACGAACAACAATTACAACTTTCTGTTGATAATAAGAGAAAATTTTGTTAAACATTGTAACAAAAATCTATTCAGTAGATATTGTAGTGTGTTTAATTATTTCACTACTTTCCTGCTTCTATAATGTTAAACTTCGTAAACATAAAACTCGGTTTTGTCAGTTTAGAAACTAGTGGAGATAGAGCATTTAAGAACTAGAGCGACAGAATCATCAACAAAAAGGTTTACCATCTTCGATTTGTCGTTCGATATTTTTCATTCAGATTGAAGAATTCTCTATCACTGCGTATTCACTCTATTAACGAGGACGTCGAAAAGGTGGAAATCTAATAACGTCGAGCTTGGAACAAATGATATACATTTCGAAGGGTTGGTTCGGGTCTTACCGACGACCCAAGGGGTCGTGAAATCCGATGCTGCCGACCGCCAAACTGGTGACACTTCCCCTCTGTAACACCGACACCTGGTAATCTTCTCCCGTCCTGCTTTTCCTCCGATTCCCAGGATCATCCTCGTACTATTTTACGATAACCCTAGGATCGCGCGCGACCCAATAGTACAAATGGATCCCTGGGAATGTAGGGCACATTACTGCGGACTCGAGAGGATCACGGAATTCGATACGACGGATTCTTTGGGTCGTGAAATCCGATAGGACGGATCTCCCGGGGTCCTGAAACCTGAAACTGTACCGTGTTAAAGTATAGGTGAATCGTTGAAGGGTTTCAAAGGTTTCAGAAACGGTTCTGACTTACGGGAATCTAATACTTGGTGGGTTTAGGGCAGTTTCAGAGATCGCGCAGGCGCTTCTGGAGGATCTGGATATTCTAGACACCTTGAATGATCGGATCTACAGGTGCTTTTGAGGGTATATTCTAGTTTGGATAGGTAATTATAAGGTTATTTCAGAGAATTAATATTGAACAAATAAATATTGCTCCAAAATTGGTGTTTCGTAAACCTTGACATTAATTTGACTACTGAAGAAACATATATTATAGGTCTGAATTCTTAGGATTATTTGGGGCTGTAAGTAACCCTGAGATATTCTGGAATGAATGTGTACGTCCGTGAACTTTTCCAAGACAGAGACTATTTTTCTCACCGGCAAGATTCATATGTTTACAAGATACTGAGATCATCCCCTTTGACGGGCTTTTGTTATTTTCATCTTCATTTTGTTCGAAGAAAGTGTGTCACCAGGAAAGCTCTTTGAACTTTACCGCCCGGAGGTATTATACACACTCTATGAATATTCAACGTTCCATCAAACTTGACGCTTGACACCTGGCGATTATGCGTTATCCGTGGTTTTTCGTTCCGTCGGAAAACAGTGAAAAACAGAGGGAAAAAGGAAGGAGAACGACCACACCTACGAGCTCACGTAGCCTGAACCGAAAAAAAAGAGAGTACAGATTCGCTACGGGTTGGAGTAGTTCCGACCGATGTCGTAAAAAAAAAAAACCTCCCAGTGGAACCGCGTTGCATTCAATTCACGCGTAACAGCTCGTTTTATTGGCACGTTTCGCGGGCATTTTTATACCGCGAACAGCTGTTTTTTGTGGATGGTTCGCTCTCTCGATCCCCCGTTTGTACTACCCTTCGGTTAAACGATCGTGAATTCTGCATTTATTTCGCCTTCGTTCTGTTATCCTGCATTCGTATTACTTATACAACCATACAGTGCTGTTCAGAGGTAGGGAACCCTTCTTCCACCTTTAAAGAAGTTCTTCTGTACAAGATGTCTACGATGTGGTTACAGTTTTCGTTCTAAGCTGTATTTAATAATACAGGATGTCCCCAAAGTAACCAACTTAAAATAAAAATGTTGATATCATGTTTGGCTCTATTTACGTGTTACTATGAATCCACTTATTTGAACGTGAACTTTTATTATTTGAACGAACAGTTGTGGAGAGTTGGGAGAATAGGTGTCTAGGAATAACTGTCTGGCCTCCGAGGAGTTCAGACACGTGGAGTTCTACTGTAGTTCATTTTTTTTTCATTACATAATTATTCCAACGAATGAAATATTCTTCCGCATCATGATTCTCTTAGTAGTTATACTCTATTAGAGTATTGAATAGGCTACCTTGTTCCATGGGCATCCATACCCAATGGGCGTTCCATACCCAACTTCCCGTTGCCTCCCTCCCCTCTCTGTCCACGAATAATTTCGACGAAACTGGAGTCCGTGGGTTCGGTCGACTCTACCGGTGGTTATCTGACCGTTGTTTACATAGCCAACAACAATGACCGATGTTGATTATCCGTTGGAACGTCTGATCATTTTACGATTCTACGCGAAACCGGGGCACTGCCGGCGGAATTACTATTTACACGCCAATAATGGCCAAGGGGAGTAGAGCCATCGGGTAAACCATGAAGTTCGATGGTAATATTCAATATCACGCTAACAGCATGTTAATAAGGGGATAGCTGTTGCCTTTAACGAGGTCCAGTGTATAATATCCCGTGCAACGTTAAACATTTGATGGCCGCCTTGGCCGTTCCCCTCAACCCCCTTCCATCCGTAAATTTTCCGGTTTTACAAGTCTCGCCAGTCTTTTAACGAGCTCCCCGTTGAACGCTTCGATGCCGGCGGCGAGTAAATTTTCCGGTGTTTTATATTTTACCGGGCGGAGAGGATTTTCTTTTTCAAGCGGGACCAGCTTCCGTTCTTCTTCTATTTTTTTTTATCCAACCCCCGTGACAGAGGGTGGTAAGGGTAGAGGGGCACACACCTCCAACTCCTTCCGTTTTCCGCGTAAATAACGTTACAGATCGTAAAGGTAGACGTGGATGAGTGGAGGGGGGGATTAACTTGGAATTTTTTTTGTTCACGCTCGATGGGAATATAAGAGGTGGAAAAAACGTAAATCTGTTACGGTCTCTCGCGATGTAACGGGGAAGTTCGTCTGGTGATCAAAGTTTAATTTAATTGAAAAATCTTTTTACGAGTGTTTCGTGGGGATCAGAGGCTGAGGAGGGTGAAAATTTTTTTGCGATCGGGCGAAGGGTCAGTGGCCCGTATAGTTTGAAGTATAGAGCGTTTTTCTTATATTACGAATATAAATATAAGTAAGTACTTGATGGGAATTTTGAATTGATTCACAGAATTTTGTTCTGTAAGAGGTACCACAAAATGTATTCAGACTTCTTTGTTCTATTTCTGCTCACTACCCAGATATCACACGAACGCCTAATGATGCCTTGAAGACGTCTTAAAAACGCCTTAGACCTCAAAAAGCCGTAAAATAGCCCAATAAATTGTTTCGAAACTTTAGTACTACATACAAAACAATTCGTGGTTTCATCCGACTTCCCTCACCACTCCTGAAACACCGAAACATAAACCTGGAACATCGATCATCCGATAAGTCCTTTCGTAGCGAAGAATATATTTCAAGTCAATCTAATTAACCGTAAAGATTTACAATAATTATCTCCGAAACGTAATCGAACAAAATCAACATCTTCGAATGGTATCTAACTCTAGATCGTCACATGTTCCGTAGATCCTCCAGAAAAAGACACAGACGTCGTAAGCTGCCGGAGGTCCGTGCCGACTTTGGCGACGGTACAGACGAGGTGGTGTCGTTGCACGATCGACGGCTCCGGGCGATCGAGTTCTACGAGGTGGAACACAAGTCGAAGTATTTGGCGAACAAACGTGGTACCACCAGAAACAGTCTTCCGAGCCGGACGAGGAGGGCCGCGACCGCCCGCAAGGAGCGCGTGTGGGACCACGGGGTGATACCCTATGAGATCGACGGGAATTTCTCCGGCGCTCACAAAGCCCTCTTCAAACAAGCGATGCGACACTGGGAGAACTTCACTTGCGTGAAATTCGTCGAGAGGGTCCCAGCCGAGCATCCTAATTATATACTCTTCACGGAGAGGCCCTGCGGGTGAGTTTGCCAACGCGCGGTTTTTAATTTTGGTGTGCTCCGGGACAGGGGGATGGCGAGCAGACACACAGTGGTACAGAACGCCGACTTAGGAGTTCAGAAGCTTAATTTAGGTGTAAGAATGGGAATATCGAAAGCAAACTTGGTAAGCATGTATTTCATGTTGTATGAATTAGGAATCCATAATTGTTTAAAGTTGTAAAAGATAAAGCAGATGAAGAGGACGGTGCATAGAGCGATAATTTGGATGTTGTTGGCTTTAATACCGGAACTATCGAAACCGTCAAAATGACGGATTTTAGATTTTGTTATTTTACAATTACTGAAATCTTAGAGATACTTTCATCGAAAATTTTGTTAACCTGTAATTTCTTATACACTTTATATTACACTTTACTAAGCTATATTTTATTACGTATATTACATACATTAATATATTATACAATTTAATTTGGCATACAGTTAAACGTTGGTAGTTCTAGTGTTAAATAATCGTAACTTCTAAACGGATGCATGAAATGTAACCATTTGCATGCTATTTTGTAGATAAAAATCTATATTTTAATGGTATGTAAAATAGCAACGTAGAAAACCTTGATAAGTGTTGAACGCGAATAATAATTGCTATATTTCGTTCTCTTATTCTTCCGATGGTAGTTCTTCAGAAAAATAATCTTTTCTTTTAATAATGTTAGCACATTGGCTTTTTTTTTACAAGTTATTAACTATTATCATAATATTTATACAATGTTTCGTTTCGGGTAAACGTGGTCTTGAACAGTAAACAAAGATTAAAGAAAATTTATAATTGTTGTGGTAAGTTCATTATAAATATATTAACAACCTAAACTTTATTAGGAATTTTCAGTGACTTTTTAAAGAGAATCTTCTTTGATTAAGTGAATTGTATATGACCATTTTGTTGTGTATTTTTGTTTGTGTAGTATTGAGATCAGTATCATTTCTGTATTTCAGTTTACTGTATAAATGATAAAAGTTTGACTGTATTTTCGAAATAATGTCGCAGATGCTGTTCCTTCGTCGGGAAAAGGGGTAACGGGCCACAAGCTATAAGTATTGGAAAGAATTGCGACAAGTTTGGAATAGTTGTTCACGAATTGGGGCACGTCGTTGGCTTCTGGCACGAACACACTAGACCCGATCGAGACCGTCATGTGCAGATTATTCGTGACAATATCATGTCCGGTGAGTGCAATTTTCATCCACGTATTTCAATTTCTTTCCAGAAGGTCACAGACATCAAATTTCTATAAAATATATATTGCACATGCGAAATTCGAATACACAACGGAAATTCAATCAAATAACGTTATTAGATAATCTAGAACTGAAACATTATGTAACATGTATTCAAAATTTTCAAGGTTCATTTATGACAGATTTCTCGAGTCTGCTATCATCAGATATATATTCTACATAAAATATATTTTTTACTGAATTCTATGACCCAAGAATTACTTGCAGTACCTCTAACTAGTGTAACCAGAAAGGTACTTCTACAATCTTACTGCCTAGAATTCTTTGACTGTAAGTAGGGTTGCCGCTTAGAAATCGACTAATCTAGGAATATGTGTGGTATTAGGTACCTTCACGAGCAAACTCGGTTTCCGTTAGGGGAAAAATTGACATAGAAGAAGGGTCTTCTACCACTTGGTAAATTTAGTCCAAGTACTGAAATAACTGTTAAATCGAATGTTAATTTACCATAAATTTCCATAATTCCCGATACCAAACTGTAGGAGGCTCTTCCCCTACGCCACTTTTTTCCCTAGTGGAAGCCGAGTTTGCTCGTGGGTGTACCTTCACCCTACAACGCATCTGTTACAATGCGCGATTCTTTGATGCAGCAAACATTCATTGCTTCCACGTCTCACATCATCAACGACGCTAAGTATCGCCAAGGTTTGTCGAACGTGAGGAGGTTCCCAAACCCTCTAACCAAGACCGTTTGCGCGATTTGCTTTCACGGCGAACAGATTCCCGTTTCAGATTAATACACCAATTTGTCGAAGGTATCTCGCAAATCTCACCAGTCATTAGCGCTGACAACTAAACGGGGCCGCTGTTCTAATATTTACACGCCTGGTGACAGTCACCGGACACCACCGCGATCACGGTTCGATTAATGGATACTCATAAACGGGAACGGTAACGAGCTGTTTAATTAGCGAGCCAGTCCGATCTCAACGCCATCTGTTTGCCCCCCGGAAATAGCAACTTGAGCCGGACCATCGGACGAAACGTCACGAATTCACGGGAATCACGTGTGGTCTTGTCCTGGTCACTTTTAACAATTTCGTTACTGACTGTAGTTACAGGGTGCTCCAAAATAGGTGTAAGTCCTTGAAAGGGGTGATTTCTGGTGCGATTCATAACAACTTTTTCCTTAGGGAAAGTGTTCTCCGAGGCTTTGTTAACGAGATATTAACGAAACACTCTGACCAATCAGAGCGCGAATCTGTTGTATTCTCAGAAAAAATTTGCGAATGTGCCTATGATATTCAAACGGTCAGGATTGACTAACCCCTTAAAGGTGATTATAGTCATCTCCACCGCTGAGCTCTTCCTGTATCCTAAAGGTGACTAGAGTAGCCAAAGTCGAGCACTTCTTGTGTCCTAATGGTGACTATAATCATTCGTCAAGTTTTCACATTAGTTAACACATTATTTTATCACTAGACTGCGGATTTTATGCATTTATAGGCTATACTCTGTAAAATATAATAAAGGACAAAACATTCACCAGATCCAGTATGATGTTTTCTGATTTATTCGAAACCCAATATGATACTTAAGAAAAGAAAGAAATTCCTACATTTACTCCTCTCTGTATGAATTGCTTTCGAAAATATTATTTTGCATGAAAATCCGCAGTCTATTTATCACATAAGTTATTACATTACTTTTGGTAATGAAACTCATGAATTAAACATATGTTGCACTATTTGTGGTAAAATGTGGACTCGTGACGCAACTGTCCCCTATAACAGCAGCATAATGGCTTTTGTGTTAACGCCGCCATTTTATCGGTTACGATGATCGAACGGTGATCGTGCGGTAGCCGTTGCTTTCCAACAATCGAGTAACGCTGACAGCGAATCGCACAGCACCGGAAAACAGTCTGCTCGACGACAATCGAGCGCTATCGTCCTTTCTGATGTATGTCCCCGTTGTGGAACGGAAGCGATCGACACCATCGAACGCTTTTGCCATCAGAAGTTGGACACTCGGACGAAATCGATCGCCTTTGTTTCTTCGGTTTCCGAACAGCGTATTTATCGAAGAATTTAGTTGGTGCCAGTTAGTTGACCGAGATCTGTACGAGTTTATGTCAAACGTTTGTTGGCGCGACGTGCCGGGATTCAGATAATCGGAGTGAATTTCGGTTTTGAGGGGAATATTATATCAAGACGTGACAGATTTTGATAAATCGATTCATGTATATATTCCTGGTAAAGCAGTTTATGGGATGGAGACAGCTGGGGATGAATGTCAATGTGGGATTAAACTGTTTGATTGTGTAATATTTCCAGGTCAATTCTACTGTACCTAATGTAATTAAAAAAGGGATATTTCGATACGATGTGATTAAAAGTATTCGTTTGTGAGGATAATTTAGACCAATGGGAAGTAAACTAGCATACTAGATCGAACTCTAAGAGGATTAATAATTATTTAAGCAACAGATAGAATTAGGATTGAGTCAACTTTACTGGAGAAAAACAGATGAACCGGAAATTTGTTTTTCAGTTCCATTTTTCGAGAACCATAGAATTTTTTGACAAATGAAATAAAGTTTTAAGGTCAGAAAATTTCTCTACGCAGTAGATTTCTCTATTTAATTATTCAGTGTTGTATTGTGAAAAGGATAGATCTATCTCATCGATAGTCAATGTGTTAAGCATAATACTATGGCGAATGAAATATGTATAATAATTGTATGAGTCGTTCTTTTTTTTTTTAAACTAGTTCAAGCTATATTTTACTATTACTATTTACAGGTCAGGAATATAATTTCAACAAACTCACGGAAGAAGAGGTGAATTCCCTCGGTTTGCCATACGATTACGATTCAATCATGCACTACGCGAAAAATACGTTTTCGAGGGGTACGTACTTGGACACGATCCTTCCAATGGAAAGGGACGGGAAGAAACGTCCTGAGATTGGTCAGAGGCTTCGCCTTAGCGAGGGTGATATCGCTCAAACGAATCTTCTCTACAAATGTTACAGTAAGTCATTATTTTCACGCAATGGATTATAACATGATTACTCGTATCAACTATACATACAGTGTGGGACAAAAGTATTCGTACACCTTTTAAAACGGAACAACTGTTGTCTCTGAGACCAACCTAAAAATTTTGACATACATGATTGGTGTTACTTTTAGACTTGAAGGGAGAAACCACCCTTTTTATCTCAAGCGTCTGTTTTACTTATTCGTTTGTAACTCGTAGACTACTAAAGATATCGGAAAAAAGTTTAGACAAATTCCATACCGTTTTTAATTGACCATACACGTACAAAAAAAGATTTCCAAAAAAATTCTTTTCCGTAAAATTATTTTCTTGTAAATTTATTCTTACCCACCGATGGACAACAAAAAACGAAACAAAATTTATCTAATCTCTTTTCCGATGTCTTTTGTAGTTTACGCGTTACATGCAAATATGTAAACGGACGCTTCAAATAAAGAACAAACATTCCCTGTGAGAAAGCATTTATTCGTCGATTGTGTACGAGTAGTGAGACGAGAATAAATCCACTTTTCGTGTTCAGAATGCGGTAGAACCTTCCAAGAGAACAGCGGCTCCTTTGGATCCCCGACACATCCGAACAGTTCGCCGCCGATCGACGGTGAACGATGCGAATGGCGGATAACCGCGACCCATGGTGAACGGATCGTGTTGAACATCACGTCGTTGGACATATTCAAAAGCAACTTTTGCCGCAGCGACTATCTGGAGATCCGAGACGGATACTGGTACAAGAGCAACGTTCTCGGTAAGCTGAGCAACAACGCCGCGATAACGAAACCGTTGAACGCGCGCGCCACAGAATTTATACTTATCCCAAAGCCACCCTATATCACCCGTGGGCGGTGTATGTATCGCGAATATTGCATTCGTTGTCGCGGAGAAAATACCCAGGGCGAACCATTTTTCCCCGTAGCCACTTTCTACGGGTAATCCAATGTCGGGACATATTCATGCTGTCGAGTGTACGGGCGGTAATTAATGGGCGAAAATTGCCTCTTCGATACGGGAAGCTCGTATACCGGTAGGTCAATAACGTATTCCACGGTGATCATTTTATTTCATCGTTAAACTGCATGGTTCCTTTTCCGTTCAACTGTGTCGATTGTTATACAGGGTGTCCCAACTGAAGGAGGCCACTTGCATATCTCATTTGTTTTTAATGAAACGAGAAATGTTTCAAACGGAATTTGAATGGTTTCGAAAGAGGAATACCGTGAAGGGAAACAAATTTGTTTCGCGTTTCTTCAAGGTCGCTAATATAATTTTGTTAGTGAACCGATACAAATTTTTCTTATGTCACAGCAATTTTTAAGAAAGAATTTAAGCTATGGTACCCTTTGATTGGGACGAAATAATGGATTACTTATTGGTGTACTTACTACTTTATAATTAACATTCACCAAAAAGGGTTCAGAATATTCTGTAGGTATTTACGTAATATTATTGCAAATTAATTTAAAATGGCAGATAGTTAACAGATCGTTTGTTTCCATATTAAAGATTTTTTATATTAATTGTTAGTTTTGAAAGAGATATTTCTAAGAGTGAGTAAGTATTTCGATAAAGGATGTTCTTATCGGTAGGAAATCAAAGCATGTAGGTAGACTGCGTATCATTCCCAACAAAATTTATTAATCAATTAGTATTACCGTTTAATTAATCCTTTGTTGTTCCACGAAATTCCCGATTACTTCCTGTTTTTGTTTGTTATCGAAGTATGCCTCGCGCAAATGAAACGAGAGAAGGTTTAATCGCGCCACTTAAATTCATAATTTGATTCCTGTTTTCAATAAACAAGCGTTAAAGAATCAGCTATCGAAGTAGCATGTACAATTATCTTGAAAAAAAGGATGTTATTTTTTATAACTGAGCACTTCTGTGCTGTTTTCATTATTTGTTCATTTATTTGCAAACGATATTTCACGTGTTTTATAACACATTATATGTCTCATATACCTAAATAATGATAAATATTATTATTATTCTATTATTAATACTACATTACTTATTATATTATCAGTACGACTATTATTACTCTTGTAAAATTGAAAGAAATTTAGTATTTAGTTATAATTAAATTGAATTTGTAATATTTCCCTTAGCCAGCAGTTACTCTTCGTTTATTCAATCGGAAGTAAAGAGTCAGACAACTCTGAAAACTTTCTTTCTCGTTTAAGTAAAACAATTTCACTTAATTCAATTTAAAAATTTCAGTGAAACATGTTTGGTTTTACTCTAAAAGACCGCCATAGTGGCGCACAGTATCCGAAGGATTAAACAGTCCCAAGTTTCTATTTTCGTTTCTGGTCGTTCTATCTTTCTATTGTTCTCTGTGCACGACGATCTTCATCCATTTAAATCAGGCGTATAAAAGCTCCAGTTTCACGGATCTGTTTCAAAACTAGCATGAAAACAGAGAGTGGGTAAACTATATACTTTAAGTCGTAAATGATCTATTTTATTTGCAATTATGTGTATTTAAAATTATTTCACTTGAGTGGGCCTAAAAATAGTGTGGTTTTATTTTGAAACATTTCATTTATTTTTCTTTATTCTCAGTTTATACGTAATGTTCCAAATAATTTTCGTAATGTCCCACTTAAAATATTTCGTTTTCACTGTATGGCATCCATTATTTCACTCTTAACTGGCGACGTCTCTTGAAACCATTTAAATTACGTAAAAAATATTTCTCGTATGATCACAGACACCCTGTATACAGGATGTCCCACCTAACGTGAGCACCATCAGTATCTCGCTTGTTTTTAACTTGCAGAAAATTTATTTTAAAAAATGCTCAAACTGACATCCATCAACCTCGACACATTTTTCGACTAATCCCTCTATCCTAGTTATTTTATTAAGTGACCCTTACAATTAGTAGTTCCCGCGGTAACGTTGGCTACCAATCGCAGCGCGTAGCCAAAGAACTCAGCCAGCAGACTTGCGCTCTGATTGGTCGGTGTTTTTCGTTAATATCTCGTTAACAAAGCCTTGGATGACATTTTTGCTAAGGAAAAACTTGTTTCAAATCACCTCACGACTCTCCCATTTCCGGGCCCACCAACATTTTTGTTACACCCTGTATACGCCTATAGCAGCGAAAGGGTTCAACCATGTGCATAGTTCGGAACAAATGTCCTGGTAATGTTCAGTTGTTATCGTGAACGCAGGCCGGTATTGCGGCAGCGGGAAGATCCACGAGCCCATCGTCTCCACCGGAAGTCGTATGCTGGTGACATACGTGACGTCCACCCGTCAAAGCGGTCATCGTGGTTTCACGGCGAGCTACGAGGCCGTTTGCGGGGGCGAGGTCGAGCTGGACGCGAGCGGCCATTTGGAGTCGCCGAATTACCCGGAGGAGTACCAGTCCAGCAAAGAATGTATCTGGAAGCTATCGGTGCCGGAGAACTTTCAAGTGGCGTTGAAGTTCCAGTCGTTCGAGATCGAGAACCACGACAATTGCGTGTACGACTACGTCGAGGTCCGTGACGGTCACAATCCGGACTCGCCGTTGATCGGAGTTTATTGCGGCTACAAAATACCGCCAGACATCAAATCCACCGGGAACAAACTACTGGTGAAGTTCGTTAGCGATGTGTCCGTGCAGAAGGCTGGATTTTCAGCCACGTTTATGAAAGGTACGGTATTTGTTTCAGGGGGCGACAACGTGGTCACGAATGTTGGGAGTTTAGTTAGCCTTCGCGGTTTAGGGGTTCAAGTACGTGAATCTGGGGATCGGTGGGTTTTTAAACCTCGGACGACGATGACCGGAGTCACATTATGATGTAGGGAAGGCTTTATTCTAGAAGGCTTTTATCTGATGCAGGGAAGCTAATTTTTATTATGAGTAGCCTAGAAAATGATATTTCATCGCACGCAGGTTAGATAATTTTATTTTAAATTTATCAAGTCCTATTCTATTGCCCGTGTATCCGACAGATTTTTAAATTCGATTATCTGAAAAGAAGCATTACTCGAAAAAAGTTATTCCTTTTTCTTTTCGACTTAATTTGCGTGTAGGACCATATCGTGCCCAGTTGTACCACTATTTTGGGGATACTCTGTAAATGTCACGATGGAACGATGAAATGTTGGAAAATACGTTTAAACAAAACGGAAATATTCGTTCAACTGATTTTTCAGAATTCGACGAGTGTGTTCTGATCGAGCACGGCTGCGAGCACGACTGTATCAACACTCTGGGAGGATTCGAGTGCGCTTGCAAACCGGGTTACGAGTTACATTCCGATGGTAAACACTGCGAGGGTGAGTTTGTCGGATTGTATACATATTTCCATGTTGAACCGTGTATTTCCATGTTGAATACCGTGTTACCATCGTTCGACTAATCGAAATTCACGTCACCGTCAGATGCCTGCGGCGGAGTGTTCGAGGACAGCAACGGAACCATCACCAGCCCTTCATTTCCGGTAACCTATCCCGGAAACAAGGACTGCGTATGGGAGATCGTGGCACCGCCACAGTATCGTATCACGTTGAACTTCACGCATTTCGATCTGGAGGGTAACAGGGCCCGGCAGCAAGAATGCGAATACGATTCCGTCGAAGTCAGTAGCAAACTGGGCGAGGATATTCTGCGGCAACACGGTATTTTCTGCGGATCCAGGCTGCCACCGTTAATCACGTCCGAGGGAAACTTTATGAGAGTCACATTCACGTCCGACAACAGGTATCAATATTTTCCTTAAGAGGGGAGCCTAGTGTAAACAGCTGAAAATCAATAAATTTTTGGGAATTTATTGCGAAGAAAGTATTAAATCAATCTCTTTGAAAAGCTTTGAGAATACTTTATTGTGGAATTGAACTGAATACAAAAATGTTTATTTTCGCTACAAATTCATGAATATTATTGTTATACGGACTTATGCGCAGCCAGTGAGAAAAAAAGCCTTCCCTACATCATAATGTATACTTTATTAAATTCGTCTGCTGCTTTCAGTGTTGATAAAAAATATTTGCCTGCCTCCTTGTTGTCCCGAATAAAAGAATTCCACAAAAGAAAATGTTTTCCTCGATAGAAAAACAATCGAGTCTGAAAAGGTTAAGAAAAAATTTCATTCGATGACAGCTGTCGAATAATTACTAAATTGCAGTCACTTTTGCATTTACAAGTCACGATATGGAAACACGAACATTTTTCATTTAACTTATAAACATTCTTCATTTCACTTGTCGAATACTAAAATGCTTATGATAAACGGTCAATTTTTTATGGGGTAAATTATTTAAATATTTTACGGGAACTGCACAGGATCCTCTGCAGTGTAGTAATTATTCGCCACCTTAATCGTTCGCTTGTTGTCGCCGTTAAAACATCCCGCGTCGTGCTGTTTTTTTTCCGCTACAGTATTCAGAAGACGGGGTTCGCAGCTGTTTTCTTTACGGACATGGACGAGTGTGCAAACAACAACGGCGGCTGTCAACACGAGTGCAGGAACACAATAGGCTCTTATCAATGCTCGTGTCACAACGGATTCACGCTCCATGAAAACGGACACGATTGCAAGGAGGGTGGTTGCAAATACGAAATCGTCGCACCGATGGGCACTATCACGTCCCCGAATTATCCGGACCATTATCCCGGCCTGAAGGACTGCGTTTGGCATTTCGTTACCAAGCCTGGACACCGAATCAAATTAGTCAGTATTATTTTCCTTCTTTTTTTAAATAATATCTTGACTGTAAACTTTTAGAAATATTAGTAAACTGTTACAAGTAGACTGTGGATGTTATGCATTTATGGTAAACAGAGTGCTCTAAAACTCACGGTACAGTTAGAAGTTTTGTAAAGTTCAATGAGGCTTTTCTATTATTTAATATCTCCTAAATTGTGGATTTCTCGAATGAAACGTTGTAGAAGTATTTTTTGAAGTGTAATGCTTTTACTTTCAGGTAGAATAATGAGATTAAATGAAAAGTAAGGTAAAGTAACAAAAAAGAAGGGTTTAAAGTGAGGATGTTTTTGAAAATCGATGTTCTAGTCAAACTTGGGACTGGGATCTTACGGTAAAGTAACAAAAAAAAAAGGGTTTAAAGTGAGGATGTTTTTGAAAATCGATGTTCTAGTCAAACTTGGGACTGGGATCTTTTATCCCTCCCGATGCAGTCGAAGTGTTGTATATAAGGTAAACGAATTTCTGTTTAGTCGGGAAATGGATTGGAATCTGAATTTGCATACATATCTACAGTTTAATTATAAATGTTAATGTTAGTTGACCCTTTGCGCTCTGAGTATGCCACTGAAACGTAGGAATCGTCTGGCGTTGGACTTCAAATATAGCTCCTAGGCACTGAAGTTTATACCAATATTAATTACCTACCGACTTTTGAGTGCTATCTGATAGTTTAAAGTTCCTTGAATTCGTAAAAGCAAGTATATGTATAAGCTATCTCAGCTCGAGTAGTACAACTTCGCAGGAAGTAATTTTATAAGAAAAAAGAAGTCGAAAAAGAAGAATACATTCTTTTCATACTCAAACGGTAAGGTCTGAGGAATCGTATCTAGTTATTGTTCCATTTCTGCTGTCTCTACTCCATTATTTACTATTCTTTCATTATTTTCGATTAAGAGAATATAGAATATAGTATTTAATTGTTAATCGACTTCAACAGAAATTGTTTGTAGTGTACACTTCATACTTAATCTTGTAATAAGTGGTAATTTTGTTGCGAATTTCACGTTTGTAAAAAAAAAATCGGATTTGCCGTAGGTTTTTAAAGTCTTCGAGATGGAATCCCATCAGGAATGTGCTTACGATCATATCGCCATTTACGACGGCGATTCTCCGGACAGTCATATCCTTGGGAAATTCTGCGGCACTAAGGAGCCTCATCCAATCCTAGCTACAGGAAATCAAATGTATATGGTTTTCAAGAGCGACGTTTCCGTCCAGAGGAAAGGCTTCATTGCAACTCACAGCACTGGTAAGAAAAAAACAGCTCCGAGTATTACGTGTACACGAGTTATATCTTCGTTCTGATCTATTATTTTGTACTTCGCGATAGAATCTTAATTTTCAAGTAAAATGAAGCTTTACTATTTAGCATGGTAATGTTTTCGGTAATGTTTTCAAATAACGCTATTTAATAATTTTATATTTTTAAAAGCTACAATCTTGGATTAACGAAACTTTCGATAGAGAAACAAAACTTCTGTTTAATTCTGATTTTTATAAAAGAATCTATAAACAGTGGATTTTTATCAAGAATGTATACAAAATCCACTGTAACAATTCCTTAGAACATTAGGAGTATGCAAAAGTAATTCGAAGTTCATTTATATGTATGCACATCCATGAAATCTCTGTTACGGATTACGATTAACGTAGCCGCCACACTCGATTTATAAAAGTTTCCAACTAAAAAGGTGGTCGTTACTGTTGCATACACTCAACACTTATGTTGACCAAGTCACTTCAATCAGAGCGTTATATGTATTGATTTAAAAAATACATGTCACCAGCTACGCCTATTTCCACGAAATGTACCATTTAGATCACACAATCAGAAATAATATAACCGATAAGGAATTGGAACAGTGAGGTTTCAAGTTTTGAAAGGTTTGCACCTTAAGATCACCGTTCACGAAGTTATCAAAACGTTGCCTCGAATAACAGGTCTCTCGGCTCCGTTATAGACGTAACTCACGGAATTAGGCGGTCATTTTATGGCAAACTGTGTGACGTCGTTCTCGATCTCACTTCTCTCCGAGGCACGAAACTTCTCGTGCCTCGCTTCGCTCGCGAAATCGCGTTCGAGCATCGAAATCGCATGTACAACCCCTGGCTATTGAATTAGAACCACTCACAATTTTCAACCTCTTTCGTATTTTCAGTAAAATTGAAAGATCTGAACAAAATTTAACTACAAAGTGTATTAACTAGTAAAATATTCGACACACACATACATATGTATATAATAATTTATGCAGAGTTTTTTACATAAATAATTTCCTTAGGTATCATACTTTTGTACCCGATAAAAATATTTGTAGTATTGAAATATTAGTCAATTGGATTTTTTTAACTGCTTCTTTTGTAAAATTTCGATTTTTCAAATCACGCCACTATCAAATCACAGCAGCGATATGGTAATCGGAGGCCATCGGCTCCAGTTGACTATCGTTTAAGTCTGACAATAATACCGTGTTTTCTCGCCCGTAGCTTGCGGTGGCCACCTGCTGGCAACGAACGAGAAGAAATATTTATACTCGCACGCGAAGTACGGCTACCACACTTACGACCATAGGACAGACTGCGATTGGGCAATCGTGGCACCGTTCGGGAAGAACGTGCAGTTGACATTCGTCGCGTTCCAGCTCGAGTTCGAGGCCGACTGCAGCTACGACTACGTGGAGGTGTACTCCGGGCTGGACACTTCCGGTCCTATGTACGGACGAAATTGCGGTAGCGGCGTAAGTATATTTCTGTTACTACGAGATTGCGGATGTTTATGCAAAAACACAATTTCAAAACTTCGAATATATTACATCAATTTCTTGAAATAAAACTTTTTTTGACATCACTTATTTTGCTACTTTTGTCCCTGACACTAGGGATGATTGTAACACCGTATTTAAATTGAAAAAAAATGTTGTTTACTTTAATATCGATAAAAAAATCATTAAACTACCCGTTGACAGTAAGTGATCCCAAACATTAGAGCGTCAATATAGAAGCGTTGAAACTACAATCCTTAAAAATCAGAGTTTTCATCAAACATCCATAACGTACCAGCGATATTCTGAAATGATTTTAACCTGAACACAATTTCACAAATTCCAGAATATCACGGAGATCATATCGATGACCGAAGCGCTGCTGGTACGATTCAGGACCGACGACACGATATCGACCAAAGGATTCGTGGCGGTGTACGTCGCGGTCGACATCCAGGACAGCGCCGAGAAGGGTTATGGTGAGGAGGAAAACCTCTGATCCTTTTTCGGCCTCGCGAACCGACTCGGCTACCTGTTCTACGTCGGTTCGATGCGAATTTTTCCACAACCGTACACGGATGAACGGATGATCCGTCATTTCACTTCGAGATTCCGCGATCGACTGACAGAATATCGTGGACGATTTTGAACAGAATAATGATAACTGAAAATCTCACAAGGATAATTTATTCTAATCGACGAGGCGATGTTAGGTTAACGGCTTTCCGCTCTGGATTAGTATCCCAGTCAGCCAAACCTGTACAGCCAGATTTCCTCCAATACTGTTATAAGCTTTTGTAACCGGAATGGCTACAGATTTGATGCAGGATCAGGTATAAACAAAATTTGCGCGCAGATTGCCGGCAGATCCCGCAACATAACATATCCTGGCCCAGATCTGACCTAGATATGTTGCAGGATCTGCCGCCAGTCTGCCGTCAATCTGCTTCGCCATTCTGTAAGACAGGCTCTGTCTACAAAACCCAAGACGAATGCCGAAACAGGTGGCTATGGATTTGTAGACAGATTTCTTCACTATCTACTGCCAATCTGCACGGAAATGGTTATCTGGGATGTTACGTGTTCGAGAGATCGGCCTATTTACGGAGCCCAATCGTGCCATCATATACGTTTAGGTATAATCCGCGTTACACTGTTAACTCTTGTAAGTCTCGACCACAGCGAGAAAGAGAGAGAAAGCACGTTCTATTCGGGGAAAAAGAAGGAAGAAGGATATATCACGACATTGCCAAAGTGACTTTCTACGTTCGATTAGAAGCTACGACACGGGATCAGGATGAACGATTGGTGCCAATCAGGAGACACGCGAAGGCTTGCGTGAAGAGACAATTGAATTTTCGTCTACCGTTCTTCACAGAGAGATAACTGCCCCCGCGAGCGTATCACAGACGTGACGCTTGCGGATCACCACCTTCTCCCCTCCCATCAAAGATTCCCGATTCCACCATTCCCGATTTCCATCGGTTTTTCTTCCTCGACGAAAGTGCTCCGTTCGTTGTACTTTTTTTTTTAAGTTTTGCGCCTGGAACGCACGCGGATGAAACGATTCTGAGCTTTCAAGGTAGAACGGAGGAGGAAACGGAGAAAGAGGGTATGTGTAACTTGGCGTCCGGTGGAAAACTTCCGAAAATGGCGACCCTGTGCAAAACGTTTTGGGTAATCTAGATGTAAATTTAGAAATAGCGCGCCGATCGATCCCTACGATCGACGATAGAAATTTTTAAGGCGAACCTCCAACGACCGTGTCTCGATCGAACTGTTCCGCATGCATGCGTGCCCCGGGGTTCACCTCCGAAGAAAAAAGAAAAAAAACGTTTATTGTACATAGATAATGTTTAGATGTAGACGTCGTGCCGTTTTATATGTAGTCATAGGATCGACGACCGATCGCATATTTCGCTATTCGAGTGGATTCCAGACTCAGTTCTTGACTGTGTACACACTTTCATTCGTGGTTTCCTGGCGGGATATTACGCGGAGTGATCCAGTTTATTCGGTCGACACGAGTCCGTTAGTGTTCTCAACGGATGAAATCACGTGCTTGATGAAGATCGTAATGTCAGGAATAATCGATGTAGTTTTTTCGGAAATATTCATTAGTTAGCGATTAATTGATTATATGGTGAATCGTTGGATATGGGTGAATCATAGAGTGCAATACGCTGTCGATCCATTATTATTCTGTACGTGTATTATTGATTTTAACGGCGATCTTTCGTTTTGTCATTAGAAATTTTTTATTGAACGATTGCAAAGTATAAATGTAATCTAGGATTTCCGATTGTGTTTGAATTTCTGATCATTGATCTTGTTGTATTCACTGTATAATGTATCTCTCAAGACTTTTCTAATTTCGTTGAAAACAGTCTTTAGTGGAGTACGTATTTGTATTACAGCAGAATTATGTACAAGCATAAATGTCAAATGGATGAATAGAATATTGTAGAAGAAGATAAAATAAGATGTTTATGAATAGACATATAAATACAATACGAAAGACAGTTACTAGTAATCTTAATATCGGTAATCGGTCGAATTATACTCGTGTGGATCGAGTAAAATGGAGGACGATTTGAAACAAGAACAGATGTGTCCAGTCAGGAGAATTAACAGATTCTATCGCTAAGTTTAGTCACTAACAATTAACAAACCAGACATCGGTACATTATACCCCGACAAGAAGACAACCGACGTAATCGAAAGATCACAGTAATATCATCAAAACTTGTCCATTTATCGAAATTATGATTTATGTGTTGGACGTTTTTTAACATCTTGTAACTAAACAGCGAAGAAATATATTTATAAAATAAGATTGCGTTCAGTGAAAGGCAAACTACGAACGAAAAAGGGGAATCATTCCAAATTCATCGAGATACTCGTGCTTTCGACAATGGGAAACAAAATGGAACGTCGTTCTTTCTATATTGTAATCGTAAATCGCGCGACAGCGTGTAATACCATATCGTGTAAGGAACACCATACTTACGAGCAAGGACAACAGCTCAATTTATTCAAAATAAGGCACCTAGTTTCGAAATTCCAAGATTTTTGTATATTTTTTCTACGTGATGCACTGCCTTGTGTAGAATTTCGATAATGCTACACGAACAATTGTTCTGCAAAATGGTGTGCTCCTCATTTCTTCTTGTCTTGTATTATATCGTAAGGACGAATACGGCCTACATAAATCAAAACGGCATATTTATATCCGAACACGAGTGTAAGCATAAAAATGTTTTCGATTTGTCTGCAGTGTATGCATGTACGTGTGCGTGTATGCACGCATATAATGTTGGTCTTTTGAAATTGAAAAATTGATTCATACGCCTAACACACACACACACATACACACACGTATAGTAATCTTATCTATTAACGGATGATAAGAGCAATATTAAGGGCCGCGTCAAGTTCCTTTTTGTAAATTATATGTGATTTCTTTGTTCTCAGAAATACACGTTATAGGCACTCTACGTATTACCAAGCAACTATATATACAACCAACGAACGCGTTTCTTCTGTCAAGACAATAATCCTTTACCCATAAATTTTCCTCCATTTTCGTTACACAGTAAAACGTGGATTAGTAACCGGAACGATCTACAGTGATCCCTCGATGAATGCGACATGGGCAACGGCGTTATTCCCACCACTGGGGGAATCCCCCTGTGGAACCAATAAAAACAGAGTAAACAGAAGCTAAGCAGAGGATCGAGTACAATGAGGGGCTGAAAACAAAAAATCTTTTGTTATTTTCTAAGGGGATTGAGCATATTGACAATCTTAGACACGAAAAATTTGACATTAAAACAATACTAATCATCGCGATATCCGGACCAATATGCTATTAATACAGCATTTGTTGTAATCATCTAAATTATCTAAACGATAAGAAGTATCGTTTTTGAATCAGGTAGGTACTGCAATTTAATTTTCTGTCATATGCTTCGAGGGCTCTAAAGCTCACTCACTATTTTAACGACAATAATCGAAGTTACCGATAAAGCATGAATTCTCAGATACTATCACCGACAAAGTATGTATCATCCGATCCTTTTTTGTGTTCCACCACAGACGAGATATAAGAATAGATCTAACATGCAATGTAATTTTCTGTCCCGTGCTTCGAGGGGGTCAGTGAACGGGGTCTCTGGCGCCACCTGTGGGGGCTCTGTGACCCCACGCTCGTACCAAAAAGGTCTCTGGGGCCACTTGGGGGGGTTCTGTGACCCCACGGTCTCTCTACACGGGGTCTCTGGCGCCTCCACCCGGGGTTCTATGACCCCGCGATCTCACCACACGTCATTTTCCGATTCCCTCTTAGGGTCATTTGCCTCGAGGAACTTGGAGTGAAAAGATGTGAAGTGAGTGGCTCCTGTTGGAGAGTAGGTATATGATCTTTACTTTTCATATTTAATCATTTATAACAATTATTAGTGCCTTCGTTAGGTCTCTATCGTTACTTTCGTTTAATATTTATTCATTTTCAAGTAAATTATTGTAAATTAATTGATAATAAATATGTGGATTCAAATTTTCTTTTTTTACAATTTCAATTTTAAAAAAATGTCCAATGTGGACTATTTTAGAGTGTCAACCTTCAATACCTTCGATCATCCACTGCTACTGACAATCACTATGGACAGTGGAAGTTATGTAGGGTTGGGTACCACTTTACACTTTTAATGCTACCTTTTACCATACTTCAGATTTTTCCGACTTCCTTAATGGTTGTTCTACGTTTTTTATTTTTAACTCTAATGCAATTGATTATTAAAATTACTATTTAATTTAATTACTATCTACTTCAGTATATTAATGAAGTTGTCACAGGTCAAGCTGTTTCATCTGTCTTAGAAAATACATAATTGAAACCCTTATCGTAACTTCAGGACCTGCGAATATGAATTTTGTTCATTTTAGAAGTTGTTCTAGCTATAAAAAGCTTGGGAAACATTTACAGCATCACGGAAAATAGACTAAATTCAATCAAATTGGAATGAAGTGTTTATTCTAATATTTCATGAATTTACTGCAGGCTTCTGTGGAGGTGCTGCTGAATTGTAATAACTGATTAATGCTCTTCATATGACACTGTTTGATTTCATCAGAAACAAGATGTGGAAATGGATCAGACTCGTCGCGCAGTAAAGTATTCGGGCAAAATCTTTCTAACATTCGAAATATTCTGTAATATAAAACGGAATAGATAATGAATATTTCACCGAACATATGCTTAGGTACTTTTTATTCGTTTTGAAAGTTTCACATATACACGTTAATTATTAACGACATAATAAACAATGACATATAGACATTAGAATCTGAGTAGATGCCCGTGTCGCGGACCATTGCGAGAAAAGATGTTTCATAATGCAATATCACGTAATAATAATTATCATGTAATGACCATACATATATGTAACAATATTTATAGACATATACAGACGAACTTTATGTGTACCTGTGTTTTAC